ACGACATGCGTTTTGTAAATCTTCCATCAAGGAGTTATATCAGCTCTATTTTATTATCTTTGCTATTTTCTCTATTCTTTCTCACACACATACATATATGTATATAAGATTAGAAAAAGATTCCTTGATGAGAGACAAAAAATAACAAAAAAATCTTTTGTTTCATAAATAAAATATAGCTTTAGATACAAAATAAAAACTTGCCACTGTCATTTCGTATTTAGGAATCTTGATAAAACAGCTAACGATTATAATTTCCATAGAATTTGAAATGATAATAGATTTGTCGAGCTAAATTAGCTTTTAGTGTATTCAATTATTATAGATATAATTGAAATAATATTTTTGCATAAATAATAGTTACGAAACTTAACATTTTAGACGTTATCTTTTTATAATATATCCTCAATCAACTGCCTAAACCTTGCAAGTTTCATTTGCATCGCGAAAGAATTACCATACAGAATGTAAATTAATATAATTATATACATATTCACAATTTCATAAAAATATTTAAAAAAAACAACATAAAATATCACAGTATAACCAGTAGATACACTTTGTGTTGGCATATTTAATTTCCTCGAGATCACGTGAGCATCCACCATGTTAACATTTAAAAAATCCAAAACTGAACAGAGAAAATAGTGTCTCATAATAAAACGGATAAGTAATAATACAGACTTGATACACAATGAAATCAACAAATTCAAAGTGTGAGTTGAATAAAACATTTTAAGTAGTAACAATTATTTGTAGGAGTGATCACTAAAGAAAATTTCTAATGTAACTGCTTATAAATTATCTGCACATATGTACGTTTCTGTTGTTCATTTCATTGGATCTAGTCCAAAACAAAAGTTGTGCGGCGATACCTGAGTGAATAAGCATTTTTTTGCAAAGTGGCTCTACTGGTTATATGTGACAATACGCACAAGTTCAATACAATGAGAGAATTTCCATGTAGCCAAAATTGTCACCACGTATTTTCGCAGTCATATCGTGGCTCTTGTTCAATAAAATATAAAACGCACAGTAAGGAGCATATTATAATAAAATAATTATAATTAACATATGTAATTAATGTGTGTAAATAATTAATAAAATAAAATAATACAATTTCGAACATGGTACAATTTTGTACAAAATAAGATTTGAATATAATTTTTGAAATTCAAATTTGGTAAATAATCTCATTGTGTGGAGAGTACTAAAGGATACTAAACAAGAAAAAATCCAACCTCGAAAATTAAATACAAATCTTATTTCATACAGAATTATAACATTCGAAATTATATCCTATTTTGTGTGTGTAAAATATTTTAAAAACAGTATTACATATAATCTCATACATAAATATCAGTTTAAAAAAAAATAGAAATAAACAAATTAAATCTAAAACATTAATGGTCACAGTTGAAACATTTTTTGAAATTAAAACAGCAGATAAAAGGTTAGTTATCCAAATAACTATAAGAAAGAGATTTGAAAAGGTCAAGAAGTTAATAAGAATTTAAAAGGTTTATTAACGAATATTATTCCCTTTCTAAATCCCCGTTTGATTCGGAATCATCCTTTTTACTTTCACTTCTTCCCTCAACTTGTCACCAATGCTGCCGTGTATCAAGAGACACGATAATGTCTTACGCCAAAGTGTAACATTGACGGGCACATTTTGTGCATTTTGTGCATTGGATGTAATTTTCATTCCAGTCGTTGGCTATTTTCACGGTTCCCGGTCCCTGCTCAAAGATCGCTCCGCTTGGTGAGTTTCTGCTGCGTATCCATCCACCCAGGCGATTAGAAGCCTCCAGTAAAATGACAGATGAAAGTCTCGCATTTTTAAGAGCATAATATGCTGCTGACAGACCCGATATGTAAATTGCAAACAAAATGTTTGATGTGATTTTACAATATCTTAATTGTAACTTTGCAACACTATTTTTACAATACTTTACAACATTCGCATTTATAAGGCCGTACTCCATACTATGAATACGTTCGTGAATAGTCAGTTGAGAGCTAATTGTTCTAAACTTCTCGCATATATCGCACTGATACTTGTAAGCCTCCACTGACATGTTAATATATATATTGTGTTTCAAACTGTTGACATAACAAATATCACGTAGCGTTTAAATTCCTCTGTCAAATGCAAAATATGCAGATAAATCGCTACGTCTATAATTTTTCCTTGTTTTCTTCTAGCTCCAACGTCTGTCTCAACATCTTAGCGTCTTATGTAACATGCACTTGCATAAAACAAGATCGTGTAAAAGTGCGACGTAGAGGTAATAAAACTTCGTCCCCCTCTTTCGTGTTATAGATTTACCTTAGATTTAGTCCGTAGGTCAGAGATGTGCAAAAGGAAAAATGTTCAATTATATTTTAAAATACCAAAAAAGAAGAGGAAAAAAGCTGCTCGATGCTTTTTCGATATCCCGGTATATTATTACATTACAAATTACGTCGAGGAAATAACAAACATGGAATGTGTTACGTGCGACCCTTCGCATTTGATTAATCTAGTTGAAATCATTCAAATTTTCAATTTTTGTATTAAATGTCTCTCGAAGTCTCATAGCTTTGAGCCATTATAACCTCCACGTCTAAAACGTATCTTCCCAGAACACAAAATCTTAAATTATTTTCTTAAATCACGTCAAAAAAAAAATGGAAGAAATAGAAACTTAAAAATTACAAAATATTTTATATTTTGGATATTAACTTAATTTTTATCTGTTCATTTTCTTAAATGTTTAAAATTTTCTTTTCCATTAATTTATTTACGAGATTGCATAATTTATAATATGTACAGTAAATTTTTATTTTATAATATATAAAACAAGATACTGCATATTATAGAAAAACCAACCGCGAGAATAATGATGCTAATTGGGATATGAAAATGTTTTCGATTTACAAAGTTCGGCCTATAATTATGCATGGATGACGGAATAGTGTCCGGCAATCCACAAAATCAGCTTATATTTTCTTATTAATGATTGTCATACATTTTGACAATATGTCTTCATCAGTATATCAATTACTAACAGAATCACAAGAAACTGAGACAACATTGGTTGAAATTGTGGTTACGTATGGTCAAATTTCGTAAGCCAATTCAAGTGTCGTTGATTATTGTAGAGTAATGTTATTAGCTTGTTCAAAAACTTTCAATGATATTATTATAAAAAAAATATATTGAAATTTGTTTCAGTGCTGTTTCCGTGGGAGAACATGTTTCACGAAAATGGATATCAACATACAGGTAAGGGTTGATGTTGCACATCTAACCCACATGGTTTTCCGATGGCCTGCTTTAAAAAGTCATCCTTTGCGCCCTGTACGTGATTTCTATATTCGATGCATCGCTTTAATAATAGATTGCCAAAATTATCAGAATTTTGTCGAGATTTTATCACTTATGTATATTGTTGCCCTTCAATATTATCAGGATTCAGCCACAAGTGTAAAATTGATAGATCAACAAATAAAAACAGTTGAACAAGCAAGGGAAAAATTGGAATCATTAATAAAGAAATGTCCTACTAATATAAACAATTATTTAAAAATTATTGATTCTAATCCTCTTCCGAGAGTGTAATAATCAATTGAATGACAACGTTTATAAAATAGACAATGACAATACCAAAATCAATGAATTTTTTGAAAACATAAAAATTACAGCCCAATCAACAATTCAAGAGGATAATAATGTCAATTATTTTTATTTACCTAAATTGATCAATCAATTATTAAAAATCGGAAAAGAATTTCCACTCTAGACAGTAGTGTATTCCTTTTTATACAAATCATCCAACCACTAGCTATTGTGAAAGACTCTTTCATGATATTAAAAATGAAGTATTTAAAAACTATGCACTTCCACAAAGAATTGACAATTTTATTAAAATTCATCTCCGTGATTTAATAGAAGGTACACGGACTTTTTCAGAAAAAATGCAAAATTTTGTTGTAAATGAGAAAACAATACCAACGTGGAAACCAAAATATTCTCACTAATATGCGGCCTGACCGATAGCAGAAGCAAGCCTAACTGAACTTTATGATACACAATATTTAATGGAACATTCTTATTCTAAATCTGAATTTGATGATTATGATTCAGATTTGTCATCAAGAAAAGACTAGTCGACTGAGATGGGCGAGAAATGTGGCGAGAACAAATGAAAACAACCTGATAAAAAAAGTCTGTTCCGCCGACTCCTTTGGTGCTAGAAAGCGAGGCAGACTTAGGCTACGTTGGAAAGAAGGAATGAATAAGGATGCCGCAAAGATTGATGCTCCTAACTAGAGAACTCGAGCACAGAATCGCGACGAATAGCATAATACACTTAAGAGAATCGAGGCCCTCGCAGGGCTGTAGCACTATAATGATGATAATGATAATAATAAGTTTCAATATTCTGTAACCATGTATGTTTTGTAATAAATTTAGACATTAATGTTCCATGTCGCGGGAATCATATGCATTCCACGCTAAATTTTACGTTAGAGCAAAAAAAAGTTTTAAAAAATATTTCATTTCACATTTGTTGTTTTTGTGATGAATGTCTCACAATTTGTTACGTATTAGCATGTGCCACTGTGTATATAATATAATTTGGTTTAAAGTGTAAACATAATATAATGTAACATATTATAAATAATATATATACCCCCCCCCGGCTGAGCCGGGGACGTAACAATATATATATACACGTATGTAATATATACATATGTATATATATTAAATAAATAATACATATATTATGTTAAAATAAATTATTTAAGTTATATGTGAAGCGATATGTATCCGAACGATAAAACAATCAGACTTCATAGCATATATTGAATATTAATCAACAATGATTAAATGATATTCACATTAAATTTTTAAGATATCGGTGTTTACAATATATGACTTATATATTGTAAATAATATTAAAATTTTCTATGATATATTGAAGAATTTATTGCAACAATGAGCTAATCCATATTTTTAAAAAATGGAGAAAAACTTCAAAGTTAAAATGATAAAATACATCCAATATCATAGTCAAATATATTTTGAGTTATTGTGTGTAGCCCATTGTTGCAACAAGTCCTTCAATTGTATGTCTAAATGCGCAATAATGTAAAGTCAACAGAATTCATCAATTTTGATGATGTCTTTACACCTTCTTATACATGTATAAAAATAAATAATAATTTTTCTAAAATATGTTATTGATTAAATTATGCTCCTTACCATACGTCGATCTTCTGTTTCTTTCGCAATTGATACATACTGCTTCGTCCTCTTTACAAGAACTTACATTACATTTTCTTCTTATAACAGCGAGAGATCAGTGTTCGACTTTTATTCATACATGCGTCGTGCGATCTTCATCATCTGTGCGGACAATAATGAACGTGTGGAAACAGATGACAGTGGATGGATTTAAATCTGAGGCAAAAAGAAACGTAAACATATATTAATAAGAATACAAATCTTATCATAGACTTTACTACAGTGTTTTAAGATTCATATTCATATAGAATTTTTTGTATCACAAATACTATAAAATACATAAATTTTAATTTTAATTTAACAATAAGCAAAACAAAAGGAAATTTTTAATAAGAATATAAAATTTTGTAATTTATGTAGATTATTCATATTTCAAGCGCTTATTCATAAAATAATTGCCAATTATGTTAAAACTACATTATTGCTATTACATTAACATAACTCTGTTTCATTTAAAATTAATATCTATTTACTATTCATGTAATAATCATATTAAGCATATCAATTTCTATTAATAAGTCCCTATTCTATTAATAATCCTCCATTGTCTGATCGATTATTTCGCTCTCACGAGCTATTCAGTATCCTTTTCAACTGGCATACCAATTACTTTAGTTACAGACTCGATTTATATTTCATACATACATTATTGATTTGCGTACTGTGCATTTTAATTATGTATCAAGCATTTGTAACCCATCAACAATCCGATCATATTAATATGTTTCGAAATCGGTGTAACAAAAATAAAAAATTAATAATGCTGATACAAATGTTGATACTTAGCACAAATTTGGTTAATGATATTTTGATTTGATAGAAATAAAAGAATTTAAATTCCCTTGCACATTACTAAAGATAGGCGAGCGCAAAGTATACAATATAATATAAGCTTAACAATGATTTTTTTTCTTGAAAATCCAACTATACGGAATGCCACTTATATAAATATATATATATATAGGTATATATACATATATGATTAATTAAATCAATAGTAAATTTTCGTAAACTTTTAATAAAATGTTGTTCAGACAGAACAGCGAAGGAAAGGAGATTTATAATACATATTCATTTATGTGTCATCTCAATTGTAACGCAAATCGTTGAATATGTTATAATATCGGCTCACTTCTTTCCTCGTTAATATTTACAAACAAAACTTCGCTAATTCCTCCCTTATTCCTAAATTTTAAAAACCAGCAGATATTCACGGCGCGACAAATTTGCGTCTGGACACAAGCTGTTTTTTTTCACTCGACAAAGATAAGAAGAGACGGGGGAAACACGGGCTCGTAAAAGTCGCAATTATTATAAAGTCAATTAAAACTTACGAGAGCATCCCGTGATGTACTGTAATCTCTCTTCCATCTTTCACCGATACCAATTACACGGAAAACATCGTGAAGCATTTTGTGCACATACATTAATGCAAATGCAAATTGCAGATGTCTACTTGAGCACCATCATTTCAAAATGATCATTTATGTAGATACTCGCGCGCGCAAACATGAGATATTTAAGATGGATTGAGAAAAGTGAATATTTAACCATTATCTGCAAGTAGAGTGGACGTGGTTTCACGTATTTCAAAAGACATTTATAATTCGCAAATAATACAAAATAATTGCGAATAAAATTTATCCTATATGCTATATAAAATTATATATATATATAATTATATTATAGTATATATATATATATAATTATAGTATATATAAAATTGAGACTAATACTTTAGTATATTCTTCTTAATTTATCTTTTCTCTTTCGATTAATAAAAGACTCCGCACAAAAACTTTATGAAAATTGAATTTCATCTAATTAGATAAAATTTTAATATGTTAATTCTTTTCACACTGATCGGAAGTGTCAATGAACACAATTCACGCAAATGCATAGTTTTTTAAGTACAGTCATCCAAAATCTAAAAATTAAAACTCATCTAATACACCATTACTGAAGTCTTGGACAGTATGGAAAGAGAAATTCGCTTATAACAAATACGATACAAAGAAATATTATATATACATATATGTCCGTATTAACATTTTCATAATATTACATGTTTGCTTGTAAAAATAATGTAAAATGGTAGTCAGAATAATGTCAAATAAAGTTCTAATTTTCAGACTCCGGCTAACTCAAAAACTGTTTATTTTCACGAGTTGTATCTACTACACTTTTGCTTAGCGTAAAAAAAACTAAAACATATTAAAATTTTATCCAATTTCTATGAGGTTTATACAGGGTCCTTTGTCACGGTTGAGCAACTCACCTATAATGATATCTTTTCAAACTCGGGAACGCAAAGTTAAAAAAAAATATCGCAATGTTTATTTGCAGTATTATAGGATTTTCTTGTAAAGACAGAGAAAGTACTTTAACTTAATTATCTCTCTCAAAGACGTTTTCTTATCCGATCGATATTCTATAGCGAGCACTCTACGCGCAGTTAATAAGTATAGACGTAATTGAAGCTTTGATGCAGCATCATCACGGAAGAGCACGCAAGGAGATTTGAAAAAAAAAAAAAAAAAAAAAATAGAAAATTATAATGCGGACAGAATTTTCCGTTGCAAAGATAAACCAATTTAAATTTACGTATTTTTGCATAAACTGCCAGCAAATTAACGGTATAAAACACTGAAGATGGAAATATTTTCATGTTAAAAAGTGTTTGAAGTAAATGTATAAAATAAAATTCAAGAAAGGATTACCTCTTTGGATCGTCCCTTATATCAAAACCATCAATCTTTAGAATATTCCATTCATCTCTAGGTCCTTTAGAATAACTAAAAGAGACCTGGAAAACACAAAGAAAAATACTTTGAATAAAAATCACGCAAGCTTTCTTCATCAGTAGAAAATCAGTAGAAATATATTAGAAACTGTGTGACGTGTCACTGATACAATGTTAAAAGCAATGTTGTTTATTCGATGCACCGTGTATGCATATGTATATAACGTGTACTTATTTCTGCGCATATTTTGCGAAATCTGAAACCAAAGTAACATACTGGTAAGAAAATACTTTTTGTATCAGCATTTTGCTTTACCCTAGTCGTATGGCCATTCACATATATTGTAACTCAATTTTATCTCAAACACACATACACATATTACAATATTACAATTGAATACAAATTTAAAAATAATTTATTAACTCTTTTGTAAAAAATCACGAGTTTAAAAATAAAAAAAATAATCTTTAATATATCAAGATATATGAAATGTAAAAACAAGATCTTTTTTGATTCTGATATAAATTAAAGTGATTTAATTATGATGAAAATTACTATCGGATTATTAAAATTAATATTAATGAATGTCAAAATTAAGCCTTCTAATTTTTTTTCTATTATTAACTCTTATATACACATGTACGTATGTAATGCCATATGAAGGAGAATGTAATGCACACGCTCAATTTAGTTAATATCTATCGATGACAGATCATATATTTCTGTGATTGCTTCTATTAAAGTAACCTGCGAACTGATAATAAACGGAAACTGTGATGATTAAATAATAGCTATTGTATTTCGTGAAACAGACGTACAGTGCACTCCGAATGTTCGCGTGGTCTGGTTTCATCGTAGACTTCAAATCATCCTATTATCGTTCCATTATTTATCATTATGCTATTTATCGTAACATTATATGTTCAGAACACGTCATAGAGGTATTAATACTGATTATTTCTATCTTACATTATAGTAGCAAATCATTTCTGCGCATAGATATCTAAATTACGATATATATTTGGATATTATTAATGGCCATTTTTACCAATGTAGATTAACTTTAATCTTGGCTTAACTTATTTTGTATCTTTTTCTAGTTCTAAGAATAAGAAAAAGATAAAAAATAAATAAAACAGAGATTAAAATTAATCTATATTGGTAGAAATAGACTTAAACTGGAGTTTTTAATCTAATAATCAAAGCTCAAAAATTTCATTTATAATATCAATAATCAATAATAAAGTAGAAAAAAAATTTGAATTACACTTATATAAATTCCATATAACTATCAAGTGCTTAGTTGAAATATAATTTTGTCAAAAAAAAATAGAAATACTCTCCACGGAAAATAGAATATATGAAATCCTCTTATTCGAAGTAGAATCCAAAGAATGCACGTGTTGAAATTACCTGTTCATGGAAGGTATCCCTACTCAGGAACTTCATCGGCTCCAAGTGCGAGTGGAATTGCTCCACCACAGTGAGTTGCTTTTTAAGAAGGTACTCGATGATGTATCCCATTGTTACATCATCTGGCAACCTGATTCTGTCGCCGACGGTGATGAACTTTCCTCCACTGAAACAAATACAAATTATAGGTTATTCACACGATCGGCTACGAAAGCTTGAGGAGTTATTACGGAAATATTTACGAACTCGAGAACGGAAAGCTAGCATGACTGTTGCGCTTAAATTATTATAAACTATTTTCTGCTCACTATCGCTCTGCGACGGAAATATTCCTAATATTTGCCGCTTCTGCAATTCTCTACGAAACGACGCTTCTATCGATACATAGCGACGATTTTTATTTGCATAAACAAATACTGCCGAATATTTAATTTCATCCAAAGAAATGTCTTCGAAATTTGTCTCTCATGTTCAAAATTCTTCAATTCCAAACACAATCTATTAAATATTAAATAAACGATAAATATATGGACATACGATTATGAAGAAGGCACACAAAGAACTAAGGCACAAAGGAAACTGACACGTGTGCCAACAAAATCGTTAAGTTTCCATTTTGAAATATCCGAGGACAATCGGTTTAAAAGTAAAAGCCAATTGTATTCAAGAACGAGCAGAACGACCGAACGTATTTAACATAGAAAATCGTTGAGCTTTTATAATGTCTGTGATTAATTTAATCTAAAAGTAAAAATTTATTATATTCCGATATTTAACGTACTTATATTTAATGGTTGCATAAGAATTGCTAAATGTGCCCATTAAATCTTATATTTTAGATTTTAGAAACGTAAACGGAAGTTCACAAAGCAGTGGCCAGTGGACACGAGAGATGACGAAAGAGACCTCGAGTGGTCACGTCTGGTACTAAATATGGTACTGATTGATGCTGCTATCTGCTGCTCTCTGACGATGATTGGAGAAACTACTTTTATAAAATTATTTTATAAAATATTTAAAATAACATTTTCACAAATTATTAATATTTTTTATTTTACTCTGGATTTTCGATTCTGCTTCTTCTTCTCTTACAAAAAAATTATTAATTACAAAAAACATTTATTATAACTTTAAATAATTCTCGGATTTGTCGCATATAAATTTTATTTCAAATCATTAAGATGGATTAAATATTTTAAGAAGATTCTTTAGAAATTGTAGAAAAAATATTTTTCTTCATTTTTACATTTTTTAATAAATGTTGCAATAAATATTTATATGACAATGTTTAGACGAAAGAAATCTATGATATCCTATGTAAACTAAAGATTCGACTATACGATCGTAAAACCGATTGATAAAATCTACGTCATACTTTTTTCCTCAATGAAATGAGAGGAGTGAATGTAGAAAACATGATATCGCCAAGAGTCAGAGTTCTGATTGGAAATCTGATAATCGCTGTCACATAAAGTGGAAAATTATTAACCAGGCATTGCCGTTACGAACTTATTTACTACAGCCGACGTTCTTCATTCAGATATCAAAATTTAGATATCCACGAATTCAGTCGATGCATTTAACGATAACTTGTGCTTTATACTCGCATTTATGTCGTAATACCCTTCCATTTAATTGGCAAATAAAGCTCTAAATTTAATGAAAATTTTCTAACGATTGTCTCTTTCAATACAAGATTGTCTCTTTCAGTACAATTATGAAAGGATAATATTGTAATGTTAGAACAACCTAATTAAATCGACGAAAATTTATTAAAATTTTCTAGATAATCATATAAATGCAATGAATTATAAAGATGTTCAATAAATTAATTCTTTAATTAATACAATTGTATAATACGTTACGTTACATATTTCTTTAACCAAAGAAGCTACAAAGACAAAAATAAATTGTTAATTAGTAAAAAATTAAATTAGTAAAAAAATAAATTGTTAATAATTAATTATAATTAATAGTTACAAAAATTACTTCAATATATGTGATAAATAAATCAAATATGGGATATATTCAAAATACATTATGTAAGTGCCAATATAAATAATTGTTATAAATATAAACCTTGATATTGTTATATAAAATTTGAACAAAACACATTTTGAGAAATATCGTCCTATATAAATACAATTCTCATTATAACATATTTTTAAAAATATTTTTAATCAGTATGAAATATAAGAATAACTATTAACTTTAAAATTAAAAATGCTCTGAGATATATATGAGTATAATTTACTGATTTTATGCTGCTGAAACGTTCAACGTCTGCTTACGGGCATCTGCTATACTACACGAAATAATTACCGGCTACTACCCGCGTTGCGTATGAAGTAATTAACTCATTCCCATGGCGCCACGCACCTTGTGTGTCCGTACGCCCGCAGAAGCACGATGATCGCCTCCTCCCCTTTCCCTTCCCCCATCTTTACGAACCCCTTTCGCGACGGTCGTTCATCCGCGCGCGGCGAATTATGGGAAAAAAAGACGGAGACACGTCACGGAACCCCGGGAGAGGGTCCCCGGCGGGAATAAATTACCGGCCCTATGCACCACCCCGAAAGTCACGCGATGCCAGCTAAGGTCCTTAAGTCCCTCGCGTGGCACTCGACACGCATGCACGATTAAGGTCGGCCGGAAACGCGGTACGGCGGAACGCTGTTGCCCCCATGCAAAAGTCGCTCTCGGCTATGAAAGGGGATGTATACAAGTACGGCGAAAATTGTCGCAAAAAAGGATACTATTCCCTTAAAAAGAAAAAAAGGATAATTGGCTCGGTCAGGATCAGATTGGGATCGTGAAACAAGATCATGTGTCTCTCTACATTTCTGTCTATTATCTACGCTATCCTCCCAGAGATACACGACGCCTGGCAACTCGATCATTTGACATTCCCATAGATAACTCGCCAATAACAGTCCTGCGGGGATTGACCATTGCGTACATGAAGCATTAACGTTCATTTCTCATCGTCATATTCTTCATTAATCTTAAGCATTAATCAAAACAGACGAGAGCGTAGGGTATTCTGTCCAGCTATCGCGCGCGAAGTAACGATCACTTTTCACCCAATAACGCGCTCGTCCGACGCGATCGTTACTCTTCTTTATAATCTAGGCGCATTTACGACTGGCGTTTCGACGGAGCGGAGAGCTCGCGCGACGTGGAAGAAGCCGAAAGGCGCAGAAATGACGAGGAAACCCGTGGTTTCGGTGCGCGTGACGTAAGCGTTTAATTACCGCCTCGTCGTCGTCGACGACGACGGCGGGCGACGACAGCCACAACAAGAAGAACCGGAGCTTTAATTTGGCTGCATTCCGCTCATGTAGATTAGGTCGAGTGAGAGACGCACCTGCTGCTCGTGACTGCTCCGCGTTGCCGTTGCGCTACCGCTTCCCCGCTACAAACTGGTCGGTCCGCATTAAAGCCGACCCTCCCCATTGCATTTATTAAACGCGCTGACACGCGATGCACGGCCGCGGCCTCGCGGTAACGAATTTCCGCCGATTAATCCGTTAATTCGCGCTATTAATCGGCCACCGATCCACCGTTAAATACTGTCGTCGATGCCGTTAGCAATGACGACGTTAATGATGGTTTGTTTTGTGGCCGCAACCGATCGATCGCGACGATCGCGTGTGTGCACGCGAAACGGGATTCACGCACGACCGATCGCGCGAAATTATTTTCAAGATCGCGTCGATCACCACCTCGTAACGCGAACACGTAGTCTCCATTAAGGAACGCGGAACCGATTCTCGTAACTGCTTGTAACGCGCCAATAACCCACGGTTTAAGGAACGCGAGGACGCCCTTCCACGGCTGTCGTTGAACTTCCGAGCGATGTACTGCGTCGAACAAAATTGCGCGCGTGAACACCACCGACGTCTCTCCTCTGCGAGAGCCCTGCAACAGGTGGTCGCGATCTCTCGTCTCGAAAGAGAGACGCCGATTCGCACGAATCGACGGAAATTTCGACAGGCGAGGAGTCGATGGCTGACCGGCGAGCGCGAGGCGAGAGATGCACGATCCACGACGGACATAAATCGTGCCAATTAGAGGCGACGGCAGGTAGTCACAACTTCGGTGACCAAACCCTGTATATACATCGGGCCAGCGACTTCGCGTGAGAGAAAGGAGGAGAGTGCCAGACATGTGAAAGAACACGAAAGGACAAATGTCTCAAAGGGGCGCCGCCGCCGCGGCCCGAAGCTACTGCACGAAAATCTCTCGGAATGGGACGCGCGTTCGGTATGTTAGGGTAAGAAAGGAAGAAATTCCGAAATATCAGGAGCGACTAAATTAGAACTGACGAGTTCAATTTAACAATTAAACAAACGTGCGACTGCATAATCCCGAGGTATAGGACAAGAATTACAAAATTCGATAGTTCAAGTTGAAGTTAATGAATCTGGAATAATCACGCAGAAAAATCGCGACGAGTGTCGTTCCATCCTGGTGTTAAATCCTGCTTGAAAGCTAGATCGAAACTTTCGATTCGCCTACCTTATAGAAATTCCGGCATGTGCCCTCTAACGATGCGGATCGTCGCATTCTCATTTGTTAGACGACCATCGGATACGTAATCCGACATCTCTCCGGGGCCGCTGAATGTGCGGAACCAGAAATATGCTTCTTAGGCTAGGTCGTGTACGACCTGCATACATTTGCGATGCAACGAGATCCTCTCAACCGGCAAAACGAAGTAGGAGGAGGAGGGAGTGCAGGTGCGCTCGGCAGGATAAAATAAGGTAACGACGAAATGAAGCACTCACGATGCGGGAGTTACTACATCGATATAATGCTCTCTGACAGAGGACCCATGCAACGCTCTTTCGAACAGTTTGACGTTTCCTCAAGCATGTGCGTCCTTAATTAACGAGTTCTCTATTAACGAGATTTATTTCGCATGGGAAGAGAGGAAACGATCGTCGTTTATCACCTGGAAGTCGCTCGCTTAAAAAAATTGAACAATTTGCATCACCGCATTGTAATAAGTCCGATATAATAAAGTGCATTTATCTCGTAAATGGCGCGACACGATACCATTTAGGAATAAAATTAATTTAATATGCGTGCCGAAATCGGACTGTAATAGCCAGCAGTAATTCAAATAATCTTCAAATTAACTTAAATTAAAATACTTTACTT